TCATTTAAATAAAGACCTTATATTTATCTTCATATTCAAATTGTAGGACTGGTTTTGTTTCTCTATTTTTAACACCAATTCTCTTTGGCCCATCAAGATAGAATGCAAATACTTATAACATCATTAAATAATAATCATAGATAATACCGCAACGATAAACTTTCTTACTGAAGCTAGTGAAAATTTTCTTATTCCTATGTTTTTTTTTCTTATTCCTATGTTTGCGCAACCGTAAAAATTATAATGATTCTACATTAAGTTTATATAGTATTTAGTCAAAAGAGATGTAAGAGAATTATGTAAGTACCTGCTTCTTTAGTAAGACCTAAATTTTTCACAGAATAATGTACATATATGGCCTTGGTAGTAACCCGCCAAAGCCGAGCCAAAAGACAAAGGCACTATCTACTTTTTCTCGATAGAATTGTCATAAAAGATAAGATAACCTTTTGGTATCTACGTAGAGCAAACACATAAGGCATCCAATTTCTTTATTTAAATTAAGGGCGGGCCGAGGTTTTCTGGAGGTTATTAAATGATGGTCCGACTTCAAAAAAGTTTCTTGAATATTTGAATTGCTTTTAAGTTAATTATTCTCACTTTTATGAAGTCTGAAGTCGGTTGTATTTTTTTGAATAAAAAAATCTCATTATTTTTTAACGATACTTATATGATAAAACTGGGATGCCACATATTTGAAAACTGTTAAAATACCAAAATTTTCCCGTAACTGTAACAAATACGATAATCGCATTCAAAACTAGAATTCAGCCAAAGGCGAAATATTCGCGGACGGATAAAACAGCTCAATCAAAGAATCTTTTCTTTAAATTCACTTAAAAAATATATTAACACATGAGTTGAAAAATCGATTGGAGGAACTTGTCAGTTTCCAATAATAGATGTACTTTTAAATGTCGTGTGCGCATTTTGCGAATTTTCATTAAAACTTATCCCATTGAGTAAATCATAATAAACTTTTTATAGAAAGATTCTCTTCTGTGGGAATGTTTTTCAATAAATTGTCGATATACTAATGTTAAATGTATTTTTACTACCGCATTTATTGGTTGCCATAATCCGTTATTATCGAGACTAATCACGGACGATTGTTTGACTGGGGCCCCACAGGGAGTAACAGTTAGTTGTAATCGTTATCTTCCATACACAGACTGCGAATGCCAATGAAATTGTATTTTACGTGTAACCTCTTTAGCGTTGTTTTCTGTGTTATTTTGATGGAAATTATCTGTTAGGTTAGAACTGCCAAATAAACTTGAGCTTTTATGATAGTCGCAGAAATTTATTTATATCTCAAATATGGTTTTTGATATTACAATTTGTCTGAACTTTTTCTTGATTTGGTGTAGGAAAAAACAATGTATATCTATAATATTTTTGGAAGATCTCTTTTTAGAAGGGACTCATCAACATTAAGCATAATAACGTCGGTGCAATTATGAAGGTACCATATTTTTCTGACATAATATTAGTTCATCTTATTATATCCTAACAAAGACAGATGTTCCGACTCTAAACGTCTGACTAAACGCGATTAGCTCAAATGTGACGAAGTATATTCATGCGGTATTCATCAATTGACTAAGTTTAGTTATAAGTGAGGCTGTGGTATGTAATTAACTGAGGTTTAGAAAAAGCAACGATGATTTTTTTTTCAATAATAAGAACAACTGGACTAATTACTTGATACTTGTAAATCATAGCGAAGCACTAGAGGACTTTATTTAAGAATATTATATTCTCTCTGATTGTTCTCAATAAAGACTAGATTAGAGAAAAGACAGGTAGACAAAAAGATAATGCGGCTATTCGATTGTAACCCACCTAATCTTATCTTATTTAGAAGCATAACATGCTGTAAAAGTGTTAAGCTCGTTATGTCATATTTTGATCAGCTATGGACCGAAATATATTTACAGACTGCAGCGGTGCGGTTCGTTTAAACATTACTAGATGGCGTTACGCGCTAACATTGTCGAAACTACGTGTGTCATATTGCTTGAAAAGGACGGGTGGCTGTTTTAGAATAACATGTATTGTTGCAAATCTCAGTAGTGTGCTGCGTCTCTAATACTTTCTACAGGATAAACCTTCTCTTGCTGTTATTGAACATAGAAATATAGACATCTTATCTATAATTGAGCAGTAACTATATTTTTTCAATTTATTGCACGAAGAACTTATCGAGTATTTTTTCGGGTGTAAAACCTGTTTATATTCATTTTGGCTAAAATTTTTGTAGCACGAGACCTGGCCTGAAATTCCCTACGTCTCGTTGTACGATAGTCTAATGAATCTCAACCTTTTAGCAGTTTTGCAGTAAGTGAGATTATTTTTTTTCGAGGTATTCTTACAATTGAATTTAGCTATCTTCCTCTCAAAAGTACTGCTAAGATGTGAATCTTATTTTTTTTTAACGTCGAAGAAATGCTTCTGGCGATTAAGACTCTCCTCCATGAGCCCACCGGCAGTGACTTCGCGGATGGAGATGCTCGGGTACATCGAGTGCCTCTCCTAGACAGGAGTGCAGGGGTAGCTGCTCTGCTAACTAATAGCAAACTAAACATAGAACATGCTAAAAATAAAAACCCTTTAATACTCGTAAAAAACGTAAAAGGAGAAAATAAACTGGAACAAGTAATAGAAGGTATAAAGAGAAAAATGGAGAAATTGGGAAAAAGAAACGATAAACAAGAAGAAATAATTGAGCTAGCATACCAAAAAAGAACTAGAAATCCGCACGTGGCGAATATGGTTCTGAGAGTGGACCCAACAACATGGAGGCAAATGACAGAGGCGGGGAGTGTCCAACTGCAGTGGGGTTACTCCATTGTTGAGGATCAGTCCCCGCTTATCCAGTGTTCCCGCTGCTTGGGCTACGGCCATATCAAGCAGAAATGTCAGGAGCAGCTGGACATTTGCTGCCATTGTGGGGGAAACCATCTTTACGCAGCGTGCGAAAACAAGGACAAAAAACCGGCCTGTGTTAACTGCAAAAAGGATCCCAAAATCAAAGAAGAGAAACTAGAACATAACGCCTTCAGCAATGTCTGTCCACTCAGAATAAGGATGGACAGACTTGCTAGAAACAAAACGGCATACTGCTAAGGGCGCACCAAAGAAATATGAGATAATACAATCAAACTTACAACGCTCGAAAAATGTCACCGCCGAACTAATCCAAGTAGCTACAGATAGAAAAGCCAGTATGGCACTAGTGCAAGAACCCTATACAGGCAACACAGGCATTGTGGCCGGCCAGACAGGTGTTAGAATATACCAGGCGGAACAGTCATCAGGGAAGGTAAACAAAGCCGCAATTATAGTGTTTAACAAAAATTGGAAAATCCACTTGCTCCCTGACCTCACTACCACAAATATAGCTGTAATAAAAATTGTAACACCTGAATGGCCGATCATTTTTGTATCTTTTTACTTCAAACCTGATATGGACATAAGCAACTACATAGAGCAACTGGAAAAGATAATGAATAAAGCGAATGGAAGTAGAATAGTTCTGGCGGGAGACTCCTATGCGTGGAGCGAATGGTGGGGTAGCGAAAAAAGCGATGATAGAGGTAAAGATTTACTTGGTACAATAAACGATCTGGGCTTAGAGATTCTAAACACAGGAAATAAACCTACCTTCCACACATGGCGAGGGGATAGGGAGTTTAAAAGCCATGTGGATATAACGCTGTGCTCGACGACCATGCTAAACAACATGGAATACTGGAGAGTAGAGGAGAATATAACAACCTCGGACCACAATGCAATACTACTTGAATGGATCATAGAAAAGGAAGAAATAAACAACAATGAAAAAACAACAAGGAAATACAATACAAAAAAGACCAACTGGAAGAAATTTAAGGAAGAAATTAAAAAATAATTAGAAAAAGAAAACATCACAAAGGAAAACATAGAACAAATTAAAGACAAAAATGAGTACGAAAAATTGATAGAAAAATACACGAATACTATAATAAAAATAACTAAACAAAATACAAAAGAAAGGAAAGGAAACAACAGAACTGATATTGTATGGTGGACCGAGGAACTTGAACAGATGAAGAAAGAAGTAAATAGGAAAAGGAAAAGGATAAAAAATACATCACAGATTAGAATGAGACATGTCGTCGAGCAATACACAACAGCAAGAGAAATATACCACAGAAAAATGGAAGAGACAAGGATAAAGAGTTGGAAGGATTTCTGTGGTAAACAAGACAGGGAATCAATGTGGGATGGCATCTACCGAGTAATAGGGAAACTCAAAAGAAACGGCGAAGATCTACTGATTACGAGCGGGGGCAAAACCACAAGTCCAGAGGAGTCGGCGCGCATAATTGCGGAGTGTTTCTACCCGGTGGATACAGAAGAGGGAGAGAACGATACCCACAAGGAGGTGAGGAGTAGAGCGGCGAAAGCAACTGAGGGGAGTAAACTGGAGTTTTACGACCCCCCATTTGTGGAAGCCGAACTACTCCATGCCACGGAGTCGTTCAACCCAAAAAAGGCACCGGGTGGAGACGGACTGACCTCCGACTTATGCGCGGCAGCCATCAGAGCGAATACACAGGTAGTAGGGTGGGTCGAAAATTTTTTTTTTAAGTATTCGATTTCTAATGGTGAAAATATGTTGAAGTTAGGTGTCGTTATAAACCCTTTAAAATATCATTGGAATGTTTTAAGTGGAACAGCCCGCGCAACACTCTTGAAGTTTTGAAAAAAAAAAAGTTCAATTACCCACTTTTACACCTTAAGTTACATGTTTGACGTTGAGTTTATTTTAATGTTTTACTTGTTATCGATTGAAATACACGTTATTTTTGCTATATAAACTGTGTTGTTTGTTAAAAGAAGATTATTTGAGGTAAGTACATTCAGAGAATTCATGTATCAAAGTGGTTAGTTTCTTGTGAAGATGTAATTTGAGTATTTTTCGTTTTAGAATCTGAAAGTTAATTTTTTCCATCATGTCTAATAATAGACAGTCATACAAGTGCCCTATATTTGGTACTATAGAAGATTTAAAAGAAAATGTGTTACCAACATATCAGGATGTCATGAAATATTACGAGTGGAGTAGAGTACAGGTAAAAATTAATAATGGCAATAACAAAGAGCCCACGTTTTCCGAAATTGCAGAAATTGTAACCAAGAAAGTGGAAGGAGTATGGCAAAAAGCATCAATCCCTGTAGTCTCGCATACAAGAGTAATTCAGCTCCTGAAAGCTTATCATTCCAAATGCAAAAATATTATTAAATCATTAAAAAGATTGTCAACTGAGAAAAAAACTGAGTTCTTGAAGAAAAGTGAAATTTTATTCGACATTTGTTCATGCAAATGCAAGATATTAAGTCAGTGCAATTGTCCCAGATCAGTTAAAGTTCCTAAAGAAGAACACGACTTTTTGATTGATCAACGAGGTGAGAGAAAAATGAGAATCGGCGGCATTGATCGCAATCGAACAAAAAGTTTGCAAAAAAAGTTTGTTCGAAAGCAAGCTTCAACAAAAATCTATCTGAAGAGCGACAACAACCAATCCATAATGCCAGAAAAAGAATTAATGTTATCAACAAGTAGTGATTCTGATACAAATGTTTCATATCCGGAAAAGTTACACAAATATATAGAAGAGCCCTTACCATCTACCTCAGGAACAATGGAAAATAAGATATGCGTGAAAAGTTTACCCGTTTTGTCGCAAATATGTGACCGTTATGGAGTATCCGATAGAGCTGGTGCTGCGATTGCTTCTGCAGTTTTACATGAACTTTCGTCAGATATCGTTATAGATAAATCAAAACTGCGAAGAGAGAGAAGGAAAACACGTGACGCGCTTGTGAAGACTCAAGCGCCTTTAAACTTGCCTGCTTTATATTTTGATGGTCGGAAAGATAAAACCCTGACGATTGTTACAAAGGGAACCAAAAGGTACAAGCAAGTAGTTATTGAAGAACACGTTTCTGTAATTAAAGAACCGGATTCCATTTATGTAGGGTATGTGACGCCATCACAAGGAACTGCAAAGACTATTGAGATATCAATAAATGCTCTTCTTTTCTCCAAAAGTATTAGTACCGATGACCTCTTGGCAATTGGATGCGATGGAACAGTGATAAATACGGGTAAATTTAGTGGTGTCATAAGGCTATTTGAAAAAAGACTTCAGAGACCTTTGCAATGGATAGTTTGCATGCTGCATTTAAATGAACTGCCTCTGAGGCATTTGTTTGATTACATGGATGGTAAAACTTCTGGTCCATCTACGTACAATGGTCCTATTGGTAAGTTGCTGGATAAGAGTGAAACGCGAGCTGTAGTTGAATTTGAGTCAATACCAGGTCAATTACCAACGCTAAAACCAGAAAACTTAAGCACAGACCAAAAATATTTGTATGAAATCACATTAGCTGTAGTTACTGGAAGTTGTTCTGATGACTTAGTAAATAAATCACCTGGAAAAATGTCACATGCCCGTTGGTTGACTAAGGCAAATCGGATCTTGCGTCTTTACATTTCTTCTCCAAAACCATCAACAAATTTAATTATTTTGGCTCAATATATTGTTAAAGTGTATGCCCCCGTGTGGTTCCAAATAAAGACACACTCATCGTGTAAAGACGGATCACGGCACCTTTGGAAATTGATTGAAAGTTCGCGATTTTTATCATGTGCATTAAAATCAATCATAGATCCTGTTATTCAACGAAATGCATATTTTGCTCATCCTGAAAATTTGCTTTTGGCAATGTTAACAGACGAAGAAAAGCATATAAGAGAACTTGCAGCTAGAAGAATTCTAAAAGCGCGTAATTCACCTTCAATGGGAAAACTACCACGCACTTTTGAAGTCCCTAAACTTAATTTTGATGCTAAATGTTATATTGATTTAATAAACTGGCAAGAAACCAACTTTGATCCACCTATTCTAAGAAATCAAACGAATGATGAACTTATTCAAATTATAGATAAAAATGGTGACGAAAGGATGTTGTTTATTAGGCTGCCTTGCCATACACAAGCAGTTGAACGAAGTGTAAAGATAGTAACAGAAGCTGCAATGTCAGCATGTGATAAAAAAACAAGAGATGGTATGATTCATGCAAAACTAGCTTCAAGGAAAGTTATGCCGAAATTCGATAGTAAGCGGGATTTTTTATATAAAAATAAATAACTTTTAATTTGTATTTGTCAATATATGTCTTTCTCTAAATATTTGTTATATTTTAATAGTATTTTAAGAAAGTATTCTATTAAAAAACTATGACATTTCGTAATACGTGTTTTTCTTTCAAAAACTTAAAATTTCGTTGCACATGCGCGGGCTGAAGATGTATGTTTAATTGTTCGTTTTTATGCTTAAATTACTTATAATAGTATACTACAACATAATATTACTATTAGAATTCGATTCACAAACTTTTATTTTTTTTCCATACTAAAGTGACCCACCCTAACAGGTAGCCCTTGCCATATGTAACAGGAGCCTGGAACTGTCCCACTTCCCCACTCCCTGGAAGCAAGCAACAGTAACAACTTTGAGAAAAGCAGGGAAGGAAGATTACACAATGCCCAAATCGTATAGACCAATAGGCCTTTTGTCGGTACTAGGGAAAATAGTAGAAAAAATGATGATACGCAGAATAAGGTGGCACATCCTGCCAAAACTAAACCCGAGACAGTACGGATTTGTGCCACAGAGGAGTACGGAGGACTCCCTCTATGACATGATCCAGCGAGTCAGGACTAATCTGGAAGGGAAGGAGATTACAACACTGATTTCGCTGGACATAGAGGGGGCGTTCGATAACGCGTGGTGGCCACAAATCCACTGTCAACTCCTGAAGAAAAAGTGCCCCATAAATTTAAGGAAATTAGTTAAGAGTTACCTGGAGGATAGATCCGTACTGGTGAGGTACGCGGGACAGGAAGTTCCAAGAAAAACTAACAAAGGTTGCGTCCAGGGATCCATCGGGGGTCCCTTATTTTGGAATATCATCTTGGACTCACTCCTGGACGAACTCACCGGTGCGGGCATATACTGCCAGGCTTTTGCCGATGATGTAGTTATGCTGGTGTCGTCGAGAGACCCACAAGAAGTAGAAAATAGAGCTAATGTAGCCCTAAATATAGTAAAAAATTGGGGTACGTCAAATAAACTCAAATTTGCAGCACACAAAACAAAAGTTATGATCATCACAAAGAAACTTAAATACGACGTACCCCAACTAAAAATGAGTAATATAAATATAGAAATAGGGAAGGAAATAAAAATCTTGGGGGTCATAATCGACGACAAGCTAACTTTTAATAAACACATTAGGTACATAGGTAATAAAGCTTTAAATATATAAAAGGGTCAGCTAGCTAACTAGGTCAGCGAAAACTAAATGGGGTTTAAATTCAGAAATTATAAGGACATTATACGTGGCAGTGATAGAGCCCATAATTTTATATGCGGCGAGTGTGTGGGGGAAAGAAGCAGGAAAGATTTGTAGCAAGAAAGTTTTTAAGTCAGTACAGAGGGGGTTCGCGCAGAAAATTGCGAAGACGTATAAGACCGTGTCACTAAATTCTGCGCTGATATTGTCGGGGCTGCTTCCGCTGGACCTCCGGGTTCAAGAAGCATCCCGGCTTTATGAGGCAAAGCGCGGGAAACCCCAGACAGTATTGAGCGGCAGAAGGGTGGAAGAAAGGGTGTCTCTGCTGGAGTCGAACCACCCCGGCAGCATGAATGTAGTAGATTTTGAATGTCTGGAGAATGCAGAAGAGGATGGCAAACTGGCAGAAGGCTTGGTCAGGATTTATACAGACGGCAGTAAACTTAAGGGAAAAGTCGGTGCGGCCCTAACTTGTTGGAAAGGGGCCGTTGAGATCGCTTCCCGCAAGTTCAAATTAGAGCCGTTCTGTACAGTCTTCCAAGCCGAACTGTATGCCATCCTACGAGAGACAGAATGAGGTGGCGGTACTCAGCGACTCGAGATCCACTCTCCAATCGCTACAAGATCCGGACTCTACGCACCCAATCACGAAGGCGATACAAGGCAACCTAATCCAACTTAGGGAATATGGCCGCAAGGTCACCCTATTTTTGATCAGGGCCCACGTCGGCGTGATTGGGAACGAGGGGGCGGACGAGCTGGCGAAGGGAGCGGCTCTCGGGCTAAAGTGCAAATCGCACTATGACCGCTATCCCATCTCCTTTGTCAAGAGGCATTTACGCAACTTGACAAAGGTAGAATGGAATAGCCGTTATAGGAGCGAGGGTATCGCCGCCACGACGAAGGCCTTCTTCCCGAATGGGGAGACGGCCTTCGGCGTTATCAGAAAGATAGAGATGGATAGATGGGCTGCGCAACTACTAACGGGGCATGGAGGATTTAGGTCTTACCTCCATGATTTTAAATGCAGAGACTCCCCTTCATGTGTGTGCGACCCCCAAGAAAAACAGGACATGTTCCATGTCCTATTAGAATGCCCCCTTTTTAACAAAGATAGATACACTCTAGAGATGCACCTAAACACCAAACTCAGCAGGGATAACCTACCCGAAATAATGAATAGTACAGACAGGGCCAATTTTATGAAATACGCATGCATAATAATAAGAAAAGTAGTAGAAATGAACAAGGATTGAATGACAAGAATAATTGAATAGAATGTAAAATAACACAATGAAATTGAGATATTAACCATAAGCAGCAGCAAACTGTAGAACTAAGAAAAGAAAACAATAGAAAAATTGTAACTGAAATATAAATATGTAATTAATAGATGTTATATACAAAACAATAAGATATTATATATAAAAAGGAAATGTTAATAGTAATAAGATATAAAAATGTAATAGAAAATAAGTAAAAAATGTAAACATAAGTCCTGAAAAGGCAAGGGAAAAAGAATGATCCCAACTGGGTAATTAAACACCCAAAAAAAAAGAAAAAAGAAAGCAAAGAAAAGAACAAAACAAAAAGAGCATAAAAAGTTGGCCTGCTACTAAGTGGGGAAACCTGTATTTAAAAAAAAAAAAAAAAACCTCCGCTAGCCTCGTGAACCTAACCTGATAAAAAATATTGTTTATTATATTTTTAGTCATATATAATTGAGGTCGACTTGCTTTAGTTGACATAAATCTTCGAAATTAAATTATTATTTTACAGACAATATTGTACGTAGCTCGGTAGCGCAACGGATAAGCGCCGCTGCCCGTAATTGTTGTTGTTAAGCAATTTTCGCATGGGTTATTCACGGGATGGGTGACCAAAAATATATAATATAGGCCTGAGACTCTAGAGTAGGGAATAAAAGAGCTGATTATAAATACATTCAAGACTAAAATTTAATAAAGCAGTTAATTTCATAGAAGTTTTGGCAAACACAATACTTTAAATTGATATAACTTTTTTATTTATGAACCGATTGAAATAAAACTAAATATTAACGGAAGATTACTACAATACAATAGTGAAAATTGCATTTAGGTAGGTTCAGCCGTTTTTGAGATTAGCGTGCACAAATTCACAGTGAAAGAGACAAACCGACTGACAAAAAATTTATTAATCTATTTTGTTCTATTACATCTATAAATTTTCGTATATCTTCAGTATACAGACATCGATCAATAAAAGTTTTTATTATAGTATAGATATTCCTATTGATACAACTAAAAAGTTGTATCGGTGAGAAAGAACAATAGTTGATCGAATTAACTAAAACTTGTATCTGTGGGATAGAAAAATAGTTAATAATAATTATTTTATTTCTGTCACAATAGCTACAAACGATCTTCTAAAATGTAATTACATTAGACTTAAAGCTTATTCATAAATGTCGTAGCCATCGTGAGAGAGCGAAACCTGTACTTGTATGTACCCTGTATGTCAGAGTTTCGGCTTTTGGCCCCCCATCACGGAATCTTTTATTTATTACTATTTAGTGTACATTTTATATTTTTTAATAATTTTAGGAACAACAAAAAAAGGCGCGCGTGCACGTGTGTGTGTGTTTGTGTATGTGCGTGTGTATGTGTATGTGCGTGTGTATGTGTATGTGCGTGTGTGTGTGTATGTCCGCGCGTGTTTGTGTATGTGTGTCAACGAAAAAAAAAGAAAAGAAATACAAACAGAATCGTGTACTAATATAGGGAATTGGTGTATTTAATAACTAATTAAAAGTAATAATTTCCTATATTGAGGATGTAATAAGATTTTCAATTTCCTCGTACGTTTTTAATCGTAAAAAATCTGTAACTCTTATTTTTTTCCATTTGAAACGTCATTGATTAATTATTATAATTTATTTTATTATAAATTAATGGACCAATGTAGAGTTGATGGTGCTGTGCGAAAGAAGAATATTTTATTAGATTTTTAAAAATTCCGTTATTTCTTCCGGTATTTTCAACAATGTTTAGGTTGTAGCAAATAAAAAAGCAAAAAATACAAACTTAAAATCCCTTGGTGTAATGGGTCACTCTTATTCATGTTTGCATAAAAATAAGATAGGTTGCTCCTGTCCTATTATAGAATATGTCAAAAATTATAAATACTTAGGACTCTATACAGATCAGCATATGAACTGGAAAACAACACGGAGAAACTATTTGCTCACGACTGGGGCAAGTGTTAGGTAAATTTCACCATCTTAGACGGATATTGGGTAAAAAAAAAAGAAAAGAAAAAAAATGTTATATGTTATTTATTACGCACTTGCAGATTCGATAATAAGCTATGGACTTACATCATACGGTCTCACATTTAAAACTTACCTCGAAAAAATAAAAAATCTCCAACTACAGTTTCTGAAACACCTTATCAATAGAAAAAAAAGAAAGAAAGAACACGGAAATAGCAACGACCTATTTATAATATGTAAAATAATACCAATTGATTTGAAAGTTAATTACATGTAAGCAATAGAGCAGTTTGAAATTGATATGTATAAAACATTAAGAACATATAGTTATAATACAAGACAGTCAAAGAAAAAAATGTATAAAGAGCCAAGTACAGGAAACTATTATTTACAAAGAACAAGGTCTTACGTAACACCTAGAATATTTAATAAAATTAATTTACCTGCAGAAGTGCCTAAGTCGAAGCAATCTATTAAAACATATTTAAAAAAAACCTTCCTGAATATGATGTAACTGATTTCATGAAATGGAGTTATTAA